CTCATTAACATTCTTGCCATCGAGATAATTCCAATGGCTGCTCAAATCCTACAAGCTATTACTGTGACTCGGCCATCTCGTTACATTCAGGATGTCGGACATGCTGAACTGCTTGGTATCGAGCCGGGTGCTTATTTTGGTGGATCTACGGTAGCCGAACAGTTAGAGGCTAATAGAGCAAACGCAATGGATGCAGAATGGGTTGAGAAGTTAGAGACTGCGTGGAAATCTCAGGTATCGGATTCATCCACGTCTTCTGAAATCAAAAGCTCTCCTGTGAATGACAAGCAATTAAGAAAAGATTTATTTGGCGAATCGGATGAGGTGAGTGCATGTTTATATGAAGTGTATCCATTCTATTTCGTTTAAAGGGACTGAGAGTTAAATTGCCCACATTGTGATGAGTAAACCTTACGTTTCCATTGAATTTCACATAGCCTTGACTTATTTTTTGTCTATAAGTAGGTTTTCGAGACTATTAGTGAATTATTTATTAGTCATATTCAGCCTATTTCGTTTAAGGTCATAAAAGTGCAATGTCGCGATGTACCGTGATTGTTCGCTGAAGTATTCTGGTTCGAGTCCCGCTGGGGGTGCTGATAGGATTTGGGTAAAGATATTCTTTTGGAAGCTGGCCTGTGAAATTCAATAGAAACGTATGGTTTTTTTCCATCTCATTGTTAGATACATTCAACTTCCAGTCCCATTATCACCCATCAATACATCTCATATAATTCGCCTACTGGCACTCAAAGATTTACTTATAAACGAAAAATAAGTGCATGTGTATATTTTAGCTTATTATTTTGTTATTTAGGATTTGAATAAGAATTGCTGACATTGAATTTTTGTAGAGTTTTCGTAAATTAATAACATCTTTTTTGTGATATAGCAAAACCAACCGATATACTCAACAGTCTATTTATAGGCAGATTTTGGAGTAAAATTCGTTTCTATATAGAACTTAGATAACTTTCATGTTTATTACTAGTTATCTTGTAAGAACTTGTCGCCTTTACTATATTTTGTCAACCATTTACATTCTCTTAAAAATCACATCCTCCACAATTTCGATTCTACTTTTATTTTGTGAGTTACATATTTTGTTCTGTATATCTGAAGGATAACATGCTGCAGTCTATCATACCCTTATACTAACATAATTGGTTTGAATTCCTTTTGCCAACCTAGTCGTATACGCATATAGGCTTCGAAAAAAGGCTTATGTACTATATTATATGCCATAGTTATCATTTCTTTCAGCGAACTCTTTTCGCAGTCTTCTGTTATAGTCCTAGCACCAAACTAAAACTATTAAAAATCACTACGCTGCTGATGCAACATCTACTAAGTTTTTTTATTAAAGTAGCTACATGACGCAGTATTGTAACATTGGAAACAGACTGAGCTACCTATTCAAAGCTATCTTTTGGAGGAACAACATTGTAAGTACATATATCAGATCAATGCATCGTCCTGCACCTCCCTCTGTTTAGTCCATATATTGGCCAAAAACAGTCCAAACAACACTTCAAAGCAGTTTTCCTAAGAGCATAGTAAATCACCTTATTCATCTGTGATATTGATCCAATTAAGAAGATGAGGTATCTAGCGTAATTAGTTGATTCTTTTGTGGAAAGCAAGATAATTTGCAAGGGAGGCTGAATAACGAGGTTAGCTACTCCATTTATAATACTTTCACATGTGCTTTGAACAATAATTGCGGATATAACCACGTTATATTTGAAGATGACGAGATGTTCAGACATGCTAAAAGAAATAATAACAAAATTAGATGGGCTCGCATTGGTGATCTAAAGACAAATTTAATTTGATCACGACAATATCCCTCCACGAACTTTTACCCAGGATGGGTCAATGTGATTAAAACGTTTGTGTGTAATCGGCTTTCTAGTATACTTTTAACCTTAGTAGGATAAATATAATTTATACCAATAAATTTGATTTCTAATTTTGGCATTTCTTTTCTCCTCGGCCTTATTGACACAGATTGTTCAGTATTCGTTAATTATTATGTTGCCTATCATTTGTTTTTCAATAACCGGTCGTGCTAATTTTCCTTCGTATTGTCCATAATAGAGCGTTATACTTTAATTGTAAAACGAGTCCTTTATTCATTTGTTCTGCTTCTGGATCACCAGCACGATATATGTTTATATTTTTATGCAGATTTTTAAACTTTTTTAAATCAGATACTCAAGGATGAAGGAAATTTTCTTCAATCTGAGTTTGCCGATCCTCCAGAAGATCTTTTAAAAGATGATACGGACGATTTGACTCGATCTGATAACCCGCTGTTCGTGGATCGTTCGGTTTGTTTTGAAGCGTCTTCAGGTCCTGATTTATCCAGCCATGTTCAGACAAGCAAACTTTTAACCATTGACTATGCTCAGAATAATACTTCGAAGTTCATGGACTCTTGTTCAGAGAATGAATCAAATAATGAAGGATTCGCGTCTAAAAGTTTCGAACCGGAGTCTCGCCCGGCTCGTTTTAGTCGCCGAAAGTGGAAGAACATAAATCGCCCTTGGTATCTTGGGAAGGAGGCAAGTAGTGTTTATTATCCTAATTATTGACAACATTTGTTATATTGAATGACATATAATAGCTTCTATTCTAAATATCAATTCTCCAGTGTTCATTTGCCTAAGATCGATCTGGAATTTTAATGCTTCCACTCCTGAGGCAGTTCTAATCATGGGATTTATTCCTAAACAAGTAGAAAAATAAAATGTAGTCTAAAGGCTATATATGGTCGGATGGTTATTGTATTATAGAGGCTATTTGTGTAGCAGTAATGAAAGGAAGAAGACGAGCATGAGATGGAATGTGGACATTACGTTTTGCTGTAGTTTTGTAGATGCTTAGAAGAGATAACATCATTGGATGCTACGAAAGGGCGTTACTTTAGAGTTAGACTTTATGCAAAGTCGCTGCTGCTGCGGAACGACTTTAGTCCTCTAGACGCGGATTCAACGATACTTGGTTGTGCACGATCCTCACTTTGAGGTATATATATTGTAGATGCAGAAGAGCGGCGCATGTCAGTTGGCGCAGTGATCGACGTCCAGAAGAAAAGCAAGCTTACTCATGACGCAATTCTGTGATAGATGAAGCTCCTCCCGGCTTTCTGAGAGCTGAAAATCGGGACTTCTCACGGGCGGTCCGATTGGGTAAGTTTATATGTTGAAAAAGTGCAACAGACTGAAAAATTGCAAGAACAAGAACAAACGAAACTATGGATGTTGTTAGGTGGGAAAAGTCGGTTCAGTTGGGTATTATTTCTGTTTAATATTTAGTGCGATATAATTGTCCGCTTATGATTGGTGCTGGACAATAAATTTATCTTGATGCGCCTCTACCAGGTCCTAGTGAAACTTGATTGGTCGACACTCGAGTGATTTTTGATGAGAACTGTTCATAATTGTTTTTTTGTATGGTATGGATGTTGGGATGTAAACACGAATGCTGCGTAACGTCACTTACCGGTGTAGCAAGAAAGTAGGGGTTAAGCACTGCATATACATTACATTAGGATTTTAGCGTTATACATTCGACTTATTTAAATACGTAGATCACTACTATGCACTTTATTCAAGTCTAATTACAGTCTGTTTTATACTTTATAGGGTTCCGCGAAAAAGGCACAAATTGTCGCATATGTTTTGGAGCATGGTCTTCGATTGCTATTTAAACTATTATCAACGGAACCTGCCATTAGGGAAACCTGCAACTTGGATTCTTCCTTTTGTTCTCAGATGATTCTTTCTAAAACTCCAGGTTTCAATATTTGGTGCGTTCTAACTGGTCTTTCCACATTAAATGACTTATCAACATCTCGTACCGCTGCTTCGTCATCATCGACAGAAGATCTATTTACTAAGCGACTTGCAAAGCGCGCCAAGATATATTCGACCCTCATGATGAGCTCTAAAATGCATGGGTCAATGAATAAGTCTGTCAATAAAAGTCGAAGTCTCAACACCGAACCTAATTCGTCCTCTTCCTCGATTGCAGATACCCTGCTGTTCTGTCCTGAAGAAACTGTCTTCAGAGTTTGCTCTCTATTGCGTGCCAATCACAGGGGCGCTCGGGAATGGGCTACTCGTTGCCTACAGATTACACTTAAATTGGAGTTAACTGGAATCCCAAAGCTTTCTGAGTCATCAGAGTCGATAACGGCAACGGTGTACGGAGAAGGCATTGGTCTTAAGCCCGTTTCTGTGTTCTTTCGTACGCTTGGTCGAAAGGGAGCACACAAAAAAATGGCGAGTAAAATTTTTTAACAGCATTTTGATATTTAGACATAATTTCTTTTAATATTTACTTAGAACACTCATATAATAATTTGTACGTATAATTTATTTTCATTGATTCAGTTGCTTCGATTATTGATGGACTCACTTGCACAACTCTCTTACGATTCTAAATACTCTATGTCATCCGAATGGTCAAATGCAGTGAGTTTTTATATCTAAATGTATGCTATACATTAGCTTCTTGACAAGCTGATAAATTTTGTATCTAAAATCCAACATGAAAATTCATTGGAAAAATAAAGAATTAAAATTTCGTTTTTCATATCTATAGTTTCCAGACTACTTTGCGAAAAGAGTATACTATCATATATAAATGTCTAGCTTAACTTTGCATTTTCTGCATCAATCTCTGGCAATACTTTGTTTATATGAGCCAAAATAGTAATCCTAGTAACTTTAATTCGACGCATTAACTTGCATCCTTGGCTTCTGTCTTCAGATGATTTCGTGTGAGTTTACTGTAATACATATTTTGATATCTTTTACATATTCCCAAGGCAAATTTTAGGGGTGACATCTCAAAGTCTTATAAATTTATATATATTCCCCACATGTATTATAATTTCGTCCTAAATCTCTAGATACAATTTTCCCACTATTATTGCATTTAAAATTTATTAAATCATATTTACTATTTTATTGTTTTTCTGTTTTAGCTCCTCGTCAATCTGATAAACCTGGGTAGGCTTCTACATCATTTTGTTGGTAGGGCACCAGTATTACGAATCCTCCAAATCGCCAATCGTGTTTCATTAGACGAATTAAACAATCAGCCTACTTGTTTTGCACAGGTAGATTCGTAACCAGTTAAATTTATTGCTTTGATTTGTTTAATCGTTATGTCCCTTATAGTAATCAGATACCTTTCGCTAGAACATTTAAACTCATGCTCTTGATTGGTAGCTTCAAGTTGTTTATGTAAGTGAATATGAAGGGGAGGCCAGTTTTCGCAGAATCCCTAAGTAGTTTGCTGCTGGTATACTTTTCGTTTAGTTTGAAAAGGTGGGTGGAGTGGATTCCTGAATTGGCCTCATCCAACACCAAAGAGGGTTACCTTAAACATGTGACTATTGGATTGTCCAGAAGAATACGTCGGCTCACCGTCCTGCGACCCCGATGAAATTGTACTGAGATTTCATTTGCCATGTGACGAACATCGTCAGATCCAGAAACCATTATATACTAACAATCACTTATTCATAATTGATAGCAATCTCCAGGTACAGAATAAACATAGGCTGGTTAATAATATCGCGAAGATGCTTATATAACACGAAAAAATGGTTTCAAGTGCAGATAAAACTGGTGTAGATGGAACTGGCTATAGTCGATTTTGATACGTATAGAATTATAGCTATGGCCTCTACGGAAACTAAATATGAGACCTAAAGTTTGTTTGCAACAATGGGTCATAAGAGAAGTGGAAAATTAATGCACTTTATCAACGCGATGCTAGGTCTCTCAACGCATATGGTCTGTCAAAAATTCACAATGAAGGGGCCCACTTAAAATAATTGTGAACAATAAGTGTCGCGTGTTGCAGAGTAGATCACGGTTTTTGTCGTCACTTCTTAGGTTTTGGAAATTTTTAATTAATAATTATTATGACTATTAAGTTAATAGATGAACAACTAATAGAACATGAAGGTTTGCCTGTAGGCTAGCATGTTTTGTCGATCTACACGAAAATACTAGAAAATGGGGCTACTTAAGCTTTAGGATTAGCATTAGATCAACACCCAGAGATTATATCGGGAAATTAGATAAGAA